TTGAAGGGCAATACAGCACAGTGTCATTTTATTACCATTAACACCGCAGCTGTTCCAGCAAGAAAACACTCTTTCTTCCCAGCAGTAATAGTGTTTCCACTGGTCAGAGTAAAACAAATCCTTTCCACCAATTAACTGTCGTTAGGCAATTCCATTTGCATAGCCACAAGGACACCTTGAAAGTTCAGTGAGCTGTTGCAGTCCAATTGCCTTTTCTATGTGTCCACAGTAAGCAGGGAATTTCCTTTTATACTAAAAACTCTATACACACTAAAAGATTGCTGTGAGCTAACCAGGTTAAAAAAACAACTTCCATTTTGCAGTATTTTTGCTTTTTGCAAAAATAGAAAAAAAGCCTGTCTACAGATCATTCTGAATCCATCTGTTTCCTCTGTGTGTTCATTCACAATAAGTAAGTAAAGCAGCAGCTCCTTTTATTTCCTCTATATCTGAGCTAAATAATGCGAGAGTCTCTGAAAACATTACTGTGCAATGCAGTCGGATACCTGTGCTTGTGCATTCATGTAATTAATGTAAAGTAGATGCACAGTATAGTGGTGCATAACACATTTGGTGCACTTTGAACAGTTAGTTTCCACTCTAGTTCCAGATCGTTAAATAAGGACTAGCAAACTCTGGTCTGGACCAAACAATCAGACCAGGACCCCCTTTTTGAGGTGCAAATTAAAGTGAGTCAACTTTCTGCTCGGCAGAAAGTTGACTTTCAGCAATCTGCCTCGGTTTGTAAGATTTATTCTCTGTCAATATTCTAAAATTAAAAAGTACTGAAATCTAAATTGAATCAGCTGGTTTAGACACTCTCGGTTTTTTAGAGTGTCTAACGCTCTGCAATGGCAGAACAGAAAGGCTGCATGCAAAACTCCCATAGTAGTTTTCCTCCTTTCTGGATCTGTGTTCTGTCCTGTCAACAAACACACCTGAGGACTTTTCTGATGTTAATGGACCTTTACTTTCATCCAACACCAGTAACACTAACATGACATTTTAGGGAAATTTATGATTTGAGAATACAACTTAAATTCAATTCAATTCAGTTTATTTATATAGCACTAATTCACAACACGTCACCTCAAGGCACTGTACAGTTCACCAGATCATCCAGTCAAATTGATCAAAGTATTCTATCTAAGGAAAACCAGTTGATTGCATTGACTAAATTACTCAAATACAATCCCTCACACTAAGCATGCTTGTGGTGACAGTGGAGAGGAAAAACTTCCTTTTAACAGGAAGAAACCTCCAGCAGAACCTAGCTCAGTGTGAGCGGCCATCTGCCGGGGCTGACTGGGGTTCAAGGAGACAGAAGCAGAAATACCAAAAGCAACTGTAAAAGGCGGCTCCATCCAGGAAACACACAGCCAGGCAGACGAGCTCCGAGCCAGCTCCCATGTCAGAGGATAAAGAGAGCACATCCAGCCAGTCATAGTCAGAGAAACAAGACTACACTTGAAAACAGGCTGATCTCCAACATCTACAACAAAGGTTTTGATGGCAGCAGCACAGCTGATATTTCTCTCCAGGATGGAGTCATAGCCAAAGATGAACAGATGAGGCAAAGCTACTATGAGAAAAAGCAGAGAGAGGAGAAGGTTAGAGATTTAACTAACTAAAATCATGGGGTTTGAGTAGTCTGACAGATATGACTCAGAGAGTAAAGTTTGAACACGATAATTTACCCTTGTGACCTCATTACAGACACACCCAACTGCTCACAAGTCTGGGGTCGGTGCATTTTATCACTTCCTCCTGCTACCTGCAGCTGCTTATTGGCAGTGCTCTGAACATGATGACTTCTGCAATGTAGATATCCTTAAATTATCTTTAATCAACCAAGTGGTCATTTTTCATCAACCTCAACAAAACACCTTGATTTTAGGATTTCTTTGTGATGCTCCTCAGTTGATGGTGGGTTGCTATACCTGTGAACTCCAGAGTGATCAAGTTTTAAGGCTAAACTCTTCTATCATTGGAAAGCTGCTTATAACCTACCTGTACTTTGCGGTAGGAAAACAACCTTGGTTTGGGTTGTTCTAAGTTTTCTGGGACATTTAAACAAAAATCCCTCAATTGACTTTTCACTGGATGTGCTGGAACCGTTTTCGCTTTTCCAGACAAAATCTAATCTTTACTGAAACTCACGCTAAGTTTTAGTAAAACTTGAATGAAAAATTGGTTTTAATCTGACTTTGAATATCATTTGGTTTCAATTTTTTGCATTAATATATACTGTAAATCCTATTCAAAGATACATTTACTGACCATCATCATTTCTAATAATCATTTTCTGTAATTATCAATGTATATTTAATACAATTCATGAAAAAGTATCCAATGTGTCTGCCTCTAAATTTCCCGTCTGATAGCTAAGAGTATGTCAAGCCAGCCTATGTGCATTACACCTATTATGTGGAAAATAATAAGTGTATCACTGTGCTGCTTCCTAATCTGAAAAGCTCTAGTGATGGAACTGTTTGGAGAATAGAGAATACTACTGTTGTTACATCAGGAAATTCATGCAGGTCAGAAGTGTGTACAAAATGTTGCTTAGCAGCAATGATCTGTCATCACATCTTAGCAACAACACTCCTTTAGGTAGCTTAGACTTACAATAACTGGATGTAAATCTACTTCCTTTAGATGCATTTTTAAGCTGCTGCTGTTTAATGTCAGAATATTGAATTAATAAAAGTGAAGGTATTTGGAAGCAGATCTTCTGACCTCATATTACGCTGCATGCAATAACATAAATATTACACTTCCTGCCTGAACGCTGCCAGAAATGGTTCAGTTTTGAAAGAGGTCCTTCCCCATCATGGTGTTTGATTTACAGGTAAAAACCTCTGTCATGATCTTGGTGCTGATGACTGGCCTAATTCTCATTTCCTTCACCTGTCTAACTCTGCCCGGTTTCTAATTTCTGCTCATCTTATCCACCTGCTTCTGCCTCTACGGTGGCTGAGAAGTGCAAAACACATTTACAATTCAAAAACACATTAACAAATAAAAAACAAAATAACATTTGAAGAAACAAAATTATATTTTATGAAACAATTTATTTTTGAAAAAAAAGTTACAATTTTTAAAAACACATTTACATTTTAGCAAACAAATTTACATTAACAAATAAACAAAATAACATTTGAAGAAACAAAATTATATTTTATGAAACAAATGTATTTTTGAAAAAAAAAGTTAAAATTTTTAAAAACACATTTACAATTCAAAAACACATTAACAAATAAAAAACAAAATAATATTTGAAGAAACAAAATTATATTTTATGAAAATTTATTTTTGAAAAAAAAAGTTTACATTTTTAAAAATACGTTTACATTTAAGGAAACAAATTCACATTTTAAATAAGTTAGATTTTAGGTGAGAGAAAGTTTCATTTTAGAGAAAAAAAATACATTATAGGGAAACAAATTTACATAAAAAAAAAAATTGACCGTTCGGAAACACTTGTACAAGTGCAAAGACAAAACTGCAAGTGGCAAAACACATTTACATAGCCAAAAACAAATTAACAAAAGACGGCTACACGGAAAGGGAATGTCCCAGTGACCGGATGTGACGTCACGATTACCCTGACTTGTAGTACAAACAGCTCAGTCTGTAGTCCTCCTGCTTCACGTGAGAAGTCAGCGGCGATTTTAGATGGAAAGAATTGCACTGAAGCTGTTTTTCTTAAGTTTACGCTAACCGAACAATGTTTTCAGCCAATTTACACCATTTTGTTCTTCGTGCGGACGGTCTCTGGAACTTTTACGGGACACGGACCAGGTGGCAGGACCAAGCAGCAGAGCCGGGCGTATTACTGGCCGGAGCCACTATTATTTTGTCATGTAGTTTTTGAATTACTTTTCTTTGGTATTTAATTATTTTTTGGGTATTTTTCCTGCCGTTTTTCGGCAAATGCCTTATTTATAGTACTTCTAACTAGATTGTTTTATATAGATATATATATATATATATATATATATATATATATAGGCTATATATTGTGATGTTATCGCTTAATAACCTGTATTAAAATGTATTCTTTATGGGTTTCTTTTTATTGTGATGTTAGTGCTTAATAAACTGCATTAAAACTTTTATAATGTAACATTTACTTGATGGAACGGAGTACTTTATCTGCGAATAAGTGGCCTCGGCCGGCAGCAGCCACCATCGGCCTCTCCGATGGCAAGCTCTGCCGGCAGCGGCCACCATCGGCCTCTCCGATGGCAAGCTCTGCCGGCAGCGGCCATCATCGGCCTCTCCGATGGCAGGCTCTGCCGGCAGCGGGCAACAACGGCCACTCCGATGGCAGGCTCTGCCGGCAGCGGCCACCATCGGCCTCTCCGATGGCAGGCTCTGCCGGCAGCGGCCAACATAAACAACATAAACTTAAGAAAAACAGCTTCAGTGCAATTCTTTCCATCTAAAATCGCCGCTGACTTTTCACGTGAAGCAGGAGGACTACAGATTGAGCTGTTTGTACTACAAGTCAGGGTAATCGTGACGTCACATCCGGCCACTGGGACATTCCCTTTCCGTGTAGCCGTCTTCTGTTAATTTGTTTTTGGCTATGTAAATGTGTTTTGCCACTTGCAGTTTTGTCTTTGCACTTGTACAAGTGTTTCCGAACGGTCAATTTTTTTTTAGATGTAAATTTGTTTCCCTATAATGTATTTTTTTTCTCTAAAATGAAACTTTCTCTCACCTAAAATCTAACTTACACTCAAAAAAAGCAAACTGGGTGTCTGTTACCTTATCTTATGTCTAACATGTAGCTTCTACTATATAAAATCATGTTTTGTGGTTGAACAGTTTTAAATCATGTAGATTTAGCATAAAATGCAACAACTTAAAATTTACTTGAATAATTTATGTTAAAACAACCTAATTCTAATGGGTTAAGATTGCAAATCAATAACACTCCAAAGCAGTAGGTGGCAGTAATGAGCACATTCCCCTCTCTTGAAGGCCACGGTCAAAGGTGAGTGAGTCCCAGACTCTGGCTGGCAGAAGGAGTAGACATTTTGAAAAGAAATTTCAAGTGTGGAAGAAGGTAAGTTTAATCTTTTATCATCCATCGAACAGAAAACAATACGGCAGCAGACATGTTATAGACAGTTAGTTATTGTCCTCTTTTGCATTTTGGATTATTTATTTGTTACTGGGCGTTTTATTAGAGTGCATTAATATATCACACTAGTGATGGGTTGATGAGGCGTCATGAAACGTTTCGACACATTACCAAACTGTATTGATACTGTGTCGATACTGTGTCACTGAATACTGACACCTGCTGGACATTAAAAATCCCTACAGGCAACCTAGTTGACAGAGTTAACTGACACTGATTTGATGACCTATTGTATACACTAATATGATGCAATTCATTGTATGATGCATTGTATTATTATTAAAACATATTTGATATTTTAGACACAGTCAATGAATAATGAGAACCTGCATCATAATGTAATAATCTCTAAGTAAACATGTAGTAAATGAAGATGCTTGTTCACTGGTATTTTGTTTTTACAAGTTTTTATTCAAAAAAATAAGTTGTTGCAACGTTTTGAAATTCAGTCTGTTACGCTTTTTTGATATTAGTTCTCCAGCTGTGGAAAACACCCGCTCACACAGCACAGATGAAGCTGGAGTGCACAAAAATTTTAAGGCCAGGCGGAAGAGGTTTGGATAAACCGTCCTTTGGTTTTTCCAATATACAAGAGGATCCTGGGACCTTGCAATATTGCCCTCTGCCATGTATCTCTGCATCTCAAGGATGGCATCAGCTGTGGCACTTTTGGTCTGCCTCCCCACTTCGAGATCAAAATGTTCCCAAAGGTCATCTTAAAAAAAAAAAAAAAAGTATTTTAGTACATGATTTACAAACAACAAAGAAATGATGCTCAATATCATGCCTGAAGTGGGGGCAGACAGCTGTTGTGAAGATGTTCCCGGCTGGGGCTCATTTGAGCTTCCAACTATTGAGGCACATTCTGTCCGCAGTCTACTGTACTTCCATTTTCACTCGTTCCCGTTCCTCCTCGTAATTTTTGGCCAACAGTTGTTTGATGGTCTGAAACCACACCAAGTCAAACCAGAAGAAAATCAATATATTTAAAATAAAGTTGATGAATAAACTACCACTTTAGATAATTTCCACACAAACCTTTCTAGTTGGCAAAACATATGAGGGCTCAAGGAGCTGAACCAGCTCCCTGAACCCTTCATTCTCCACAACAGCGAGGGGCTGGCAGTCCTTTACAATGAAATTAAGCACAGCCTCATCAAGCATCTGCTTTCTGGAAGCTTGATGGTTAAAAATGAGAAAGTGTAAATTATTCAGAATTATCAATAAAACAAAGTCAGTAAGTTGTAAAATACCTGTATACCTGAGTTCATCATGGGTGTATCATGGATTTCACTCTCATGCTTGGCCCTATAATGCCTCAGCATTGAGGAGGTGCTGTTATTTAAATATGCAAGCTCTGTTGAGCAATTGCGACATTTAACCTGTAGAAAATAACACGAACAGTAAACTAAAGGTCACTTTGAAATGAATTTCTACTCAGAAAATCAAGTGGAAACTCTGACAGGAACAGGATGAAACAAGGAAATTAAAACAAATACCTTATTTTCCGAAATGACATCAAAGTGGTCCCACACGGCAGAAACCTTTCTTTTTGCTTGAGGAAGCTCCATAATGTTTGATGAATTTTATATTCGCAAAACACGCAAGATTGTTTTGGCAGATGTGCATCCTTATAAAGGCTTGTCAATCAGTTCGAAACATCGGTCACGTGACCGATACATGAACTGTTTCGGTCACGTGACTTCTCCGTAGCGATACACACGTCGACACAGGTTTCGCTCTATGAGACCGACACATGCGCCGACGCATCGGTGTTGCCCGACCCATCACTATATCACAGTCGCCATGCTCATAGCTAACTAAGCTTACAAGCTAGCATCCTGAGGTCGACGGCATGGTTGACAACGCGTGCGGATTCATTTACAAAATGAGCTAAGAGCTGATGCAGGCATGGCTGGTGGGGGATAATTGCCTGCGTTTGGTGAATGTAGCTGCAGCTAAAAGGCTCCAGTCACATAGGCTACATTAATAATAATAGTGGTGATGAATTTCCCCCCAATCCGAATCTTGGCTTCACGTGGAGTCCGCAGAAAGCTCGGCACTTAACAGTCATTAGCTCTAAGTTTGGAAACTACCACGGCATCTCGGCACCTTGGCGGGGTTTCTATGTCAACTCCACGTAGCATTAGCTCATCCAGCTACTAACATCAACACAGTAGTTCTTCGCACTATGGAGCTTTCCACAGTCAGATTTTATTTACTTTGTTGACGAGGGAACAAATGTGTGCTACCATAAATGTACTGTTGTGCTGTAGCCCAGCTAGGAAAGCAAATCGTTACCATATTTCAAATGAAAAAGCATTTTCAGAAATGCTTTTTCATTTTAAGAATGTGGCTGCATTGTTTGACTCATAAATGAAATTAGTAATCAATCATCCTGTTTGCATTTTAAATTTCTTCTTTAATGCTTCTCATCATTTTACTTAATTAAAATAAAAAAGAAAAATACATTTGAGATTTATTTTTTGAAAATGTACCCCAGAAAATACATACCAAAAATAAATTTGAAATGTAAATTTTGAAAATGAAAAAGTATTTTCAGAAATGCTTTTTCATTTTAGGAATGTGATTGCATTGTTTGCCTCATAAATTAAATTAGTAATTAATCATCCTATTTCCATCTTGAATAAATGCACAGCACTCATTAACTTTGATTGAAATATGTACAGTGTGATTTATATCAGCCAACAAAATGTGGGCTAGCCTTGGAAATAACTTGTAAGCTGATTTAGGATTTGGTGGTAGATGACAATTGTTAAACTAGTCGGTCATTTCAATGCTATGATAGTTAAATTTGCTTTTGTGTACCCTTTCTGTTTAAGCTAACTGCTGAATTTAAGAGGATTACAACCATCAGTTTGCTGTCAAAGTTCTTCTCCCAGCTGGATGCTCATTCTTCAAACTTGATGAGGGTGTTTGGCAAGAAAGGCGGCGTTCAAGGAAGAAAGATAAGGAGCATCATGATACCCATCACCAAGGTATGATAATAGAATAAAATAGAAATTGTCAAACCTGTACCGATTCAATATTCTAAACTTAATGCTTGAAATTTAAAGCGGAAGTTTCAGAGGGATGGAGAGAAATAAAACTAGATGGAGAGGGGTGTAATGTACTTTTATGAAGAAGGATCTGATAAAATTTTAACCTTGGGCAGATGTGACAATGTCCACTGATGTTGCAATGGTAGGTTCTGTTTCCTGGGACCACATGCTTACATTTGACATATTTCTATGATAAAATGTCTTGCTGGTACATAAAACCAATGCACCCATGGATATTGTAAGTTCATATATCATAAAAATTGTCAATGATTTTTACATTTTGAAGAATGTATTATTTAAAGTTTTGTTTGTAAAATCTTCTACCAGTTGATTAAAATGTTTTATCTTTAATTTATTGTCCTACATACTCAGACTGACGCCATTGATGTCAAAAGAGAGTGAATCATCAAAGCCCGGTGTGTGTACCTGAATGAAGAGCCCGAGAACCTTGTGAAAGAATACATGGTATGTAATTTAGTGTGTTTAAAAATGGGACCAGTATAACATATCTTTACATGTATATCCTCTATTTCCCCCTTTTTTCTGTGAAGAACACAGATTGTGGGAGCAGTGAAGCTGCAGTGATGGAGACGACATTTGGAATATTTGTCATTCGCAAGGAAGGTGCAGAGCCAGGTGATGGACCGGAAGATGTAGGTATAGTTCTGGATGGGCTCGGAAACGTGCCACTTGCTGTGGTCATGTTGTTTGCGCTTGTATATGCGCTTAACCTCAGCTACCCGCCAGAGCTCAGATACACCTTTGAAGCTTTGCAGAAGATCATCGTGGAGCTTGATGGAAACATACTCTCAAAAAAAACTCAAACACTGAAAACTCTACTTGCGTGTTAGTCACCCTCAATAGAGTAAACTACAGGTTTGGAGTTACTCTAATGGGAAGGCATTTGAAGCCATTTGAGTAGTTACTGAACTGAAAGCTGTGTTTGTGTTTTAATACATCCTGTTGCTATTTTGGGTTTACAAAATAGAATGTTTTGAAATGTTTCTTTATGCAAAGGTAAGGTTTTAAAACAAATTGTTATTTTCTAAAGAAAACTATTTTGATATGGATGCATTATGCTGTATTTTGGTTGTTCTCAAATATTGGTCTTTGCACTCAGTTGACAGGACCACTTTCTGCGTATAACTTTGTAAAGGGCTTTGCTGAAAGCTCTAAATATAGACACCTAATGACAGGGGGCTCCAATTTCCTAACTCAGGAGTTACAACTTTTGTTTGTCTATCTGTTGTAGTTTTTTTACAGACATGATGTTGGACACTGTTTCAGGCTGTATTGTTTGTTGTATTTTCACAACGTAGTCATTTTTAAAGTAAAGTGATTTCAACAAATCCAATTTAGTTCATGTTTTTCTTTTCCAAACTTGACACCAGCTGGGGGTATATAGGCTGACATGTACATTTTAAATAGCTGAATATGTATACGTTAAAAATGATTTATTTTGTGAATAATTACTTATGTTCATTTTCATATGATAAAGTTAATCTCTTACCTAACTTTGTTTTGTGGGCTCAGCACAATAAATTCATGTACTGTACTATTTTGAAAAGTAGTTGTAACTACCCTATTAAATTATGTACCTAATAATCCTATCATACAAGTTTAAATGGCTTAAGAAAATTATGTTAGTATGTTACATTTACCTATATTTATCTAGTTGGACTGACCCCTGGTAATTAAGTAATAGTAATGCAAATACAACACGTTGACCCAACATATTTACCCTTTGTTCACTTAACAAAATTGCTTCTCGCTAAATTAATGCATTTTATTTAGGTGGAAATTATTTCCATAATTTTATTACGTTCTGGGAACAAGTTTTTTTTTTTTTGAGTGTATTTAAAATGTGAATTTGTTTCCTTAAATGTAAATGTTTTTAAAAATTTAAACTTTTTTTTTTCAAAAATAAATTGTTTCATAAAATATAATTTTGTTTCTTCAAATGTTATTTTGTTTTTTATTTGTTAATGTGTTTTTGAATTGTAAATGTGTTTTTAAAAATTTAAACTTTTTTTTTTCAAAAATACATTTGTTTCACAAAATATAATTTTGTTTCTTCAAATGTTATTTTGTTTATTTGTTAATGTAAATTTGTTTGCTAAAATGTAAATTTGTTTTTAAAAATGTAAACTTTTTTTTCAAAAATACATTTGTTTCACAAAATATAATTTTGTTTCTTCAAATGTTATTTTGTTTTTTATTTGTTAATGTGTTTTTGAATGTAAATGTGTTTTGCACTTCTCAGCCACCGTAGCCTCTATTTAATGTGCTTGCATCCAGTCATCAGTGCCAGATTATTCTTGATCTCTTGGACCAGTGGTGAGAGTGGTTTTAGGGTACCTTAGTGTTTCTGATTTTTCACACTCTATGTCCAAAATGTGAACAAAGAAGACAGGTGGTTTGAAAGGGGTGTGAAGGAAGCCATTTATGTTAAGAAAGAAAAACAACCTTAAACAGAGGGGGTGGATTCAAGTTTCAGCTCTCAAAAGGCGACAACGCAGCAATAGAGTCGATTTTCCGCTTTCATTTCAGCCTCCCACCCAAATGCAGGGGACAAAACATCTCACCTGGGCAGCAAAGCCAACAATTCCACCTAACGACCCCCCTTTCAGAGGCTTAGCCCAGTATCGGGTATTGCAGGCTAACAAAGAACCCAAAACAACTCCCCAATCATAAGGGGCGCACCCGTTCTTCTGTAACGATCTTGGTTCTGTTGTTTTTCTTCTGTCACGATTTGGTTTTAAGGTTTTTGATTGGACCCAAAAGCAGAAGCTGAGAGGCAGAGGTGAGTTCTTGGAGGGACTAATGAGAGATCAGGCAACAAAAACAGGAATCCAAAGATTCGACATAAAAATCAAACACAAACCAGAACCATGGAGACATCAGGGGAAAACCATCAAGGAGCCAGGGTGAGGAAAGGTAAGACAAGGAACCAGCCAAGAGGGACTGCAGAGGGAGTGTATTTATGGCTGACTGAACAAAGGTAGAGCTAATGAGCTGATAGGGAGCAGGTGTGATTAGAGCTGACGAGGAAGCCAAGGGAAAAGAACACAAGGAGGCAGCAGAGAACAGACAGAAAAACCTGAGCAACTTAAATGAATCCAGACACACCAAAAAAGCTAGAAAACAATGAAAAACCTGGCTAAACTTGAAACAGAAAACTTAAAGAAAAACAACAGAACCAAGATCGTTACATCTTCTGGTTAATTTGGCACGTTTTCTAAGCCAAAAAAAGTGTTAGGGCTACTATATAAAGCTTTGAACTCAACGATAATTCTAACATTTTGAATTGAAAAACGTTCCTGGATGGGAAGAGAAACGTCGTCAAACTTTGAATCCCAGTCCAGTTGACAGTTTTTTTTTTTTACTTTTTTTTAATACTATGACCTGGATGACTGATAATCTTCATCAGCATTTAATTAAAATAGTATAATATAGGCTAAACTACAATTAAACATGACAAGTTGCAAAAACGGATATATTATGCCATTTACAGAAATAAGGCATCATGCCAAACTGCCTCAGTAAGACTTGATTTGGTTGCACCTGATAAACACTACATACTAAGCCTGGGGAGCCTAAGCCTTCAACAGACATTTCAATGTCATGGGGAAATGAAACAACCATGCAGCATAAAGGTGACTGATTAACTTACAAATAGGGAGGACTGTTTTCCACCTCTTAAAATTGCAAATGTTCTGTTTACCATATTGGTTTTAGTTTTACTTCATCCCCATCATACCAAACTTTTGCTTCCTACGTCAGAAGCTGATGATAAAACGCTCTTATGAACCTGCCAGTCACAGCAGACTAAGTGACTCAGTGAGCAGAGGATGAGCATTCTCAAATCCTATTTTGCATAAAACCCTAAACTCCACCTTTGTATCTGCTGAATGTTTAAATAGGCAGCTTTCAACATTCAAGGTATTATCTACAGAAATAGCTACATGTATATAGTTTTACTTTATTTTTTGTCCTTCCATGCCATAAAAAATACACTATTTTAGCCTTGAAGTTTCAGTAAGTGGCTTTAAGCCCCCCTTCAAATAATAATAATCAATGCAGACTTTCCTTCACAGATTTTTCCAGTCAGCAGTTATCTTGCCCAATTTATGAATTAAATAAAGAACGTCGAAAATGCAATTCTCGTTTTGCCCATTTGATCAATCCTAACAACTTTTCAACCCCATTTAGACATCAATACACCTCTTTTTGTGGATGTTTTTTTTTCCACCTTCCACTATTCAACTGCATTTACAGTACACCATGTGCTAAACCATGGTTTCAGTCTCCTCCAGTGCAATCTGTTGCTCTTTTGCATGATTTCCCTCTTCAACTTTTCTTTTTCCTTGATCCAATGTTTCAACATATTCTCATTATGAGTTCGTATGAAATCGTACGAAAAGTTATGCACACTATTTTGTACGTTTTTCCTCAAAAAACCAGATCAGTGCGCATGCGCAGGCAGACAGAAAAAAAAGCTGATCCGCGGACGGACGTAAAACTAAGAAAAACGGTGCAATAATCACTTATTCATGTCTCTAACTACGTTGCTTGCTGTTTTATATCTTATGGTTTGGGTTAGGGTCAGGGTTAGGGCTAATTGTAATTTTTACTCTAAGTTCTTGAATGGGGCGTAAGATGCACATGCGCATACGACGAAAAAACCGTCCAAAACGTACGAAATTACAGTGCATAACTTTTCGTACGATTTCATACGAACTCATAATGAGAATACACTAAATGTTTTACTCATTTTTATTTCCAACATAAGAGGAGCCTTCATCGTCTGTTCTACATCCATAATTTTGCCTTTCTTCATTATTTGGTTTTTAATCCCCATCATACTATTAGCTACCATCATCAACATCCCCTAAGCTTCCTAAGTTACCATCATTTTTATCATTTCATTCTTCAATAAAGAGCTTCTTCTCCTCTCCTTACCCCTTATTTCTCTGAGCAACAGCTTCCGTTATTCTCTTCCACACAACCATCATCTTCATCATATTCAATATGTCTGTTAGCATCTTCGGCACTCCTGCTATATCTCAGTCCTCCAGTTCACCGACCTCATTTTCACTCAAAAAACCAGACCGTGCTTTGACTCTCAGGACCCTCGGTGTCTCCTGTACCCCTGGAGAACCTGATCAGTGTGGCAAACTTTTGATCAGTGGTGCCTTGCTAGCAGGCATTACATTTTTATTTTTGTTTGTTTTTTCCAAGCTGTGAGAGTAAAACCTTTTACCAACCTCTTTTCATGGAAATTCTTGTGGGTCAGATGTGCAAGTGGAAGAGTCTTTGCTCATCACTTCTGCTCAGGAGGTTTCCTGACACCGATTCTGTTTGAGGTTACTGTGGTGAGTATTTGCCCTTGTCCCCACAAAGTCTGGACTTTACTTTTCACTTTATAATTACACAGAAAAAATTGAAATCTTAAATATATTTACTGTTTTAAGGAAAAAGAGTCTCATGTATTTGAAAACATCGACTAAATATAGATTTGTTTGCTGAAATCTACATGATGTAGGGATCAATGGTGTAAGTGAATGCTGCAGATGAGCTGCAGCAGAGTGCATCCTCAGGGTAAAACACACCCTGCTCTTGTCACTTCAACACTTCTCAATAGGCTGCTAGTGGAGAAATGGTCTGTATTGATTTGCTGGCATGACAGCACCCTTAGTCTAACACGCAAACAAAGCCAGAGCTGCAGCAGCTCCAGCATCACTTTTTTTTTCGGATCCTAGTTTCCACCTTCTCTTCAGTTTCAATGACCTTTAGATGATTGCAGCTAAATTACAGTTTCCATTCCTGGTGTTTACTAATTTGAATAAAATTCAATGACTTTTTTTTTTTTTTTTTACATATAACTAAGGGAAAGCATGCCACAAAGACACAGTCATGTTTCCAGGTTTGTATGTCTG